AGGAGTCAATATGGAAGGCTGGAGGAAACAGACAGTTTGTGGTAAGCACAGGAAGAACCATAAAGTACGGTTTCTGTCTAAAGGACTCTCAAAATCTGAGATTTGAGGCTTTTGCTAGATGCACCATATATCAAAGCTTCTCAAGGAGTAAAAGCATGTTGATTCACGCTTCAATCACTGTTTACAGTTTAGCATGCACACTTGCTCTTCTGGCCTCTCTTCTGTGTCCTATGCTGACTTTTGCATTTAGACCCCAGCATAGAAAGCTACTTAGGAAAGCAGAGCTGTCAGCTCCCCTGTCGTCAGAAGTTTTGTGAGAGAAAACAATGTCCCCATTCCCAACTGGGCAAAAAAGTTAAAATTTTGGAAACCATCACAAGCCACAAATCTGGAGGAAAAACATTTCATTTCAATCTCTTTTTAAATCTACAGAATATGCTAATTCTCTTTTTTGCCTGTGAAATGTCAACATTAAAAAAAAAAAAGGTTCAGCTGAAAACTCCAAATCTTTCAGACTAAAAAAATGCTGAAATAAAACCTATAATAATCTCAAACCTTTTTTTCCTAATTTTTTTTTTTCAAGTTGGGAGATTCATCAAACCATACTTCCCCTGCATCACCCATGGTTAGATGACTTTGTATTCCTGGTGAAACACAGCTCCCAGAGTTGTGAAACAGCTCTGGTACTTGCAGGGATGGCTACCCTGAAAGTGTGAGAAGTTATTTGAGATCAGTGAACACCAGGAATGAGAGCACAGCATACAAATAGCTTTGAGGATGTATTTCCTGACTTTGGAGTGCTTTACTTACAACTCAGTACTATTACATATGTATGCACACCTCTGTGTATGTGCGTTCATCATATTGCCTCCTACAAAATGGTATCGTCCTCTGGATCTCAAAGGGCATTGTGTAAGTAGGTAATGCACAGGAGCCTGCTATAACTAGACTCTCCTTATTTTTACAGGTATATCATGTCCTGCCAACAGCAACTACAGCTCATGCATGTCTGCATGCCCAGCATCCTGCAACGACTTGACCAGCCCCTCTGAGTGCACATCACCTTGTGTTGAAGGCTGTGAATGTCTCCCTGGCTATATTCTTAGTGGTTTTGACTGTGTGCCTTACAAACAATGTGGCTGCACGTACCTTAACAAATATTATGAGGTACAGTCCCTGTGTGGGTCAGACAGCTCCTGCAGCACCAAACAATATTTTCTTCTGCTAATTATTTTGACAATCTCCTCAGCATGTAATTTTGCATTAGAAACAAAGAGCAATTGTTTAATAAAATTCTGGTCTCTGGAGAAAGGGAAGAGAGAGTAGATCACTTGATCTGCCTCTGAAACTCTGCCTGCCAGAATACTCAAGGCAGGCACTTGGAGAAAGTATATGATTACACTCTGGCCTCCACGTTAATTCTTCACCTTTGTTACGCTAAATAATAGCATCATAGGTTCTAAAGTTTACAACACACTAGTTACGGAGAAATTCTGCCAGTCCCTTTGGTCCCTCTCCTCTCAGTGAAGAGCAGAATAGGCAGGGTTGAGAGTCTGTAGAGTTGGCTATGACATGAAGAGAGCCCCAAGCAAGGCTGGATTCTGAGGAATAAGGAGAATCCTCCATTGTCGCTGCAGGATAGAACAGCTTCATCATCTCATAGGTTTCTGTTTTAACACTAGAGATTTGGTACAGAAAAGGCCTAAGCCAGTAAAGATTGTTTTATGGGAGGAGGGAGACACTTACTACGAACAGGTGGCACTTGCCACAAAAATGGCACATAGCATTTCCACATTGCCTTGGAGGCATGATGTGATGCATCTGCCACTCTCTCTTATTTCCAGCAACAGTTAGACATTGTTGGTTGCACGTGTACCCCACCTGGGGCTAGGATATCATACCCCAAACTCTCTTTTGCGTTCTTTCTTGGGCCATCCTTAAGTTTCAAAGAGCTGGATTAGTAAGCTGCTTGCTTGCTTTTTTGTACAAACTACCAAGAAAAAAAAAAACAAAACACCTGCCCTGTTGCTATTCCTCACGAAGGCATCAGAGAGAGCAGCATGGGGCCCCAGTGCTCCATTCATGGTTTTTCTGGCTGATTTTGATATTTTTTAACATTTAACCGTTGTCTTCCAGATTGGAGAAATATTTACCACTGATGACTGCTCTCAGAGATGCCAGTGCACAGAAAGCTCCACTGTCTTCTGCTCTAACATAGTGTGTGGATCTGATGAAACCTGTGGCATTTCCAACTACAGTCGTGGATGCTACAGGAGTGAGTCAACCACTATCGCATTGTCTTTGATGCTAAGAAGTCTTGACTTACTGCTTATAGGACATCACTGGGTTGGGGACAGTTGCAACAGAGCGTGTACAGAAGAAAAACATACCAGGGATCTTACTCTGATGTTTCATTGTAGAAGCAGTGTTTCTTTCCCTTACTCCTGTTGTCAAGTACAAGTAATGTACCTTAAAATACAGGGGATGTCCAGCATTAGGAGTCAGTGTAATCTAAGCAAGAACAGTTCTCTCAGGGTTGGATTATCTGAGAATCTGAAGTGTTTCTCTTTCCTTTTTGCTAGGTGGACCATGTATGCCAAGTCCTTGTAAGAATGATGGAGTTTGCTCTGAAACTACCAAGAGCACCTCTCTCCACTTCTCCTGTGAATGTTCAGAACTGTACACAGGACCAAGCTGCGAGGCTGAAAAGATAGGTAATAAAACTATTTTGGATTTCACTGTCTGCATTACACACACCACTTTCAAAAATGGGTGTCGTTATGGAGAAGACTAAACTTGCTCTTCATTCCCATGCTGTAAATTAGTAATCCAGTGGGTGAGAGCCTGTGATCATCCAAGCAGAAAGAAGGGGTCAGATCCCCCTGTGGAGAGGTGCTACAAGGCATGACAACAGGACGCTGTAGAGCATACAGAACCTGGGTCTGACACCACTCCAGAAAGCCACATTCATCAGAGAACACAGTATAAACCAAGCAGACAAGCAAGGGTTGAGAAAAAAATTCTGTTCACGGTATGGTTAGCTTTCACTGACAGGTCTCTTATTTCTTCTTCAGTTGAAGACCCTCCCACAGAGGATTCTGAGGACCATACAATTGTCATAATCGTTGGAGTTGTGGCAGGCGTAGTTATCATCATCATTCTCATCACCTCTACAGTGTACCTGTGCAGGTAAGGCTTTTCCCAGCTTTGCTACGTCCAGCAGAGTCAAGACATATACACCCCTTTTAGCACCTGTAAACCTCAAAACTCCCATTAGTCATATACCTGCAGGACCAGAAAGGAACCACAGCATTCAGGATCTCATTTGAGGAATGTGAGGGAAAACTTAGCTTTTTCTACAGAAATGAACATATGCCATTTCCTTTTACACAGGGCATATGCATCACTATCACAAAACTTGGGCTTCTCCAAAATCTGACTTCATTCATTCTCACACCACTATTTGACCTCTCTCTACAGCTAAGAATAGGAATTAAAAATGGTTGTTCTTTTTTTTTTTCCCATTGTACAGAAGGAAGAGAAAGACGGATACAGATGCGAAATCAAGGGATTCTTCTTTGACACAGTCCAGGGAAGTACTGGATGACAGACTACGTGAGCAAGACTATGGCTATGTCGTGAACACTGCATTTGATCAAAATTGTTCCCTATAGTTAACAATATTTTTCCAATTTATTTGTATTACTTTCTGCTCTTGTATTTTAATAGTATTTCTAACACTTTGAGAAGAAATAATAAAAAATATATCATTGCATTTGCTGAAAACCTTTTTTAATTATAGAATTAACTATAGCATCCCAGGCAGGTCTTCATGAGACCACCTTGCCCAAATCCTTCCATGGGGAGAGGATTAGCTGACTGAGATGGACACAGTTCTTACTCCTCTTCTGGCAAGGCACGTCCAAGTGGGGAGAGAAATGTGTAAGAAGACACTGAGCTCATCTGGTGACAGATGTAGTAAAAAGGATGACCCCCATTGTCCCCCTTTGGAGCGTGGGACTGAAAGAAGTGATTGTTTGAAGGAGAGCTGCCTCCTTGCTGTCTGGGTGGAGTGGACCCAGACAAGAAGTAGGGTTGTCATCAGCCCCCAGCCTGTGGGGGCTAAGCAAGAGCATAACTTAACAAAAACTTTCTGAAGAATGAGATCCTGTCATAAGCTCTCCTTGGGGTCTTTGCAAACTCTGAAGCTGCCACACTCTGATGAATGTGGGTAGACATCTGCATCGGCTTAGTCCCAGACCACGCTAAGGACCCCGCTACAGCAGACAATCAAAGGTGTTTGTGGCAAAGCCTAATAACATGCAGCACGCGAGACACCCACCCCATGACAGACCACTCACAAGGCTCAGGGGACCGAGGCACTGCCTGGGCCTTGTACAAGCCCTGAACAAATTTTCAGTGGCATGAGTGAAGCTTTGAGACGTAAGGAATGCACCATTAAGGTTTCTCTGATGCTTTTCCAGTTCTTTGCAGGTTCACTTCTGATTACGGTGAGGAACAGCGTGGGCTTCCCATTGTTTCTGCCATAATGCTGGTTATTATTCACTTACCCTTTCTCCTGTCCCTTGTATCCATAAACTCATGTGTGCTGTTAGCCAAAAACGTATTTGTAACCTCCATGAACAACTGTTCATGGTAGATAAAAGGCATTTTATTCTGGTCCATTCAAGAACACACCAGCTGTCTATACATGCACAGCACAGCTATTTTGGAGAGAATGTGAATGGAAAGGGGCTTTCAGCCTCGTTACGTAATGAAAATGAATCAGCGCGAGAGATCTACTCGTGCGCAAATGAACTGTCAACCTTACGCTGGAATTTCACCGCATTTATAAAAGCATTTTTCCTGCCTGTTCAGCGGCAGCTTCCTATTGCGCTCTCGCACTTGCTAACAGTGTGATTCTGTGAACGTTGAGCGGTGCTGACCACGCTCGCCTCCCCTTGCAGTCAGTGGAAGCACAGGCCTGCAGGATCCCAGCTCAGGCTCTCCCAAGCAACAGGGCCCAGCTGTGCCCAGGTAAAGCAGATTTCTGGGTTTCCATGGATACACCTTGCTCCTTCAATACCTCAAGAATTGCCCTGGCTTTCCACTGCAAAGCCTTGCAAATGCTTCAGACTTGAAACAGGGGCTGATACGGAGTGCAGAATTGCAATTCAGTGCTCCACCAAATTAACTATTTCATGTCAACAGAAGCCAGAAAGATGATAAATCTTCTGCTGCTCTGATCTTTTTGATCAACTGGCTTGCTGACCTGACTTTGGAAATGCTGGGCTTTAAATACACTGCCTAGTTCAACTCACCCAGAGGACAGTTTTGTGGATAGCGAACCCTCCTTTTCCGCATCCTGCGCTGGCCATAGCCAAGGAGGCAGCCGTACCTGCTCAGCTGTGCTCAGGCTGCCCGCACTGCCCGCCCCGCAGCTCAGAGGACTCTTGCTGGGCACAATCAGGTGACTCCCCTGACGTCCTGAAGGAAATTCCTGGGCCACAACATGAAAGACACATGAAAAGCCGCCCTAGAAATCTCTTTGCCCTAAAAATGGCCATTGGGATTTACTCCGAGCTCCACCTCCTTCGCTTCCCTTGGCCAGCAAAGAGGCGAAACGGCAGCTCTGCGTTGCCTTTCGCTCAGGAAATGTTTCCTGGAGAGGGATGCCCACTTCCCCTCGGCTCGGCAGGACAGCCGCCCCGGCTCCGCGCACCGGAGCCCACCCC